ATTGGGTTGGCAAGCTCTGAACAAGCCAAGCAGATTCGGTGTCTGAATTTTGCCCTCAAAGGTGGCGACCCACGCCTCGACACTGGTTCGAGCAGACCGCTGTACCGTCTTTCTCGTTGATGATAGGCGTCATTGAGAGGGTCGACTGTCGATCACAATCTGATTCTCGTTTGTAGACTCTGACGGCGCTGCTGTTTGTGCTGTAAGATCACACCAGGACTACAAGTGAGAGCCCAAAAGACACATTTCAATTGCACGACAGTAGAGTTTAGAAAGCAGGATTGTGCTGCATGTGAAGTTGGCAGAAGCACCAAGGGGACAGAAGAATGATACGAATGTCCAAGGGCGAGGGGTCAAATATCCAACTCTTTCGGTGTCAAACATCCCCTCTTTTGAGAGACTGTGATCAATTGGCCTTGTTTTCAGTGACATGTTTTTCTACATAGACGTCTCCGACATTCATGTCTGGGACAGTGAGGTCTCGGACATTAATCAGTGTGTCGGACAGTGAGGTCTCGGACAGTAAGGTCTTGGACGGCACAATTTGGAGGAGGGAGGCGCCATTACTTCTGAGCCACCCGAAGGTAAAATTTGAAGAAGAGAGGTGGCACTCCAAAGGCGCATGCCCTTCCAACCCCCCGAGGGTACAATTTAGAGGAGGAAGGTGCCGTTCCGATGGTGCATGCCGAGGGTAAAATTGAGGGGAGTAAGGTGACATTCCAACGGTGCATGCCTTTTGTGAGCCATGTGAGGGAAACATATACAGGAGAGAGGTGCCATTCCAACGGTGAGCCAGTAACATTTAAAGGCGGAGGAAGGTGCCATTCCAACGGCGCATACCTTTTGTGAGCAACCCGAGGGTAAAATGTAGAGGAGGAAGGTGCCATTCCAACGGTGCATACCTTCTATGTGAGGTCTCGGACAGTGTCGGACATGAATGTCTCGGAAAGTGAGGTCTCTCGGACAACATTCAGATCTCGGACGGTGAGGTGTCGGGTCGGGCGTTAATGTCTCTGACAGAGACGTCTCGGACATTGATGTCTCGGGCAATGAGGTCTCGGAGACACGCTTTCCTGTCGGCCATGCTCCATGGAGCTCCAACGGGCTCATGAGCCATGTGAGGGAAACATATATAGGGAGAGAGGTGCCATTCCAGCAGCGCATGCCTTTTGTGAGCCACCTGACATAAACATATAGAGGAGGCAAAATTTAGAAGAGGGAGGTTCCATTCCAACTGGACATTGATGGAGAGTCTTCCGGACATTCATGTCTCGCACCGTGAGTTTTCGGACATTAAGTCTCGGAGAGTGAGGTCTCGGACATTAAAATGTCTCGGACAGTCAGGTCTCCGACTGGTGTCTCGAATGTGGTCTCGGCCTGGGAAGGTCTCAGGCATGAATGTCTTTCAACAGTGAGGTGTCGGACATCAATGTCTCGGACAGCGAGGTCTCCGACATTGATGTCACTGACAGTGATGTCTCGGACAGTAAGGTCTTGGACATAATTATACTGTCTCGGACCGGGATGTCTCGGACATTCATGTCTTGGACAGTGAGGTCTCGGACAGTCATGTCTTGGACAGTGAGGTCTCGGACAGTCATGTCTTGGACAGTGAGGTTTCGGACATTCACATTTTGGACATTTTGATGCCTCGGAAAGTCAAGTATCGGACATTATAATGGCGCGGAATGTGGTCTCGGACGTGTCAGACACATTTAGACACGACTGAAAGGGGAGATACTTGACGCCAAATGGAGGGGATATTTGACCTCCCCCCCGATGTCCAAATGCTCAAAAACAACTCAGAAGAAAAACTGGCACGGAGGATCAGTGACCTCTGAACCACAGCCCGTCTGAACCAAAGGCTTCGGCACTCCAGGCTTAAGACCTTGTAGCGGTTGACGGTGGAGAGGAATCCGAGAATTGGAGTGAGACTTGGAGTTTTAACCAGACAGAAGCGAATCAGAGAGGAAGCTAAACCAGACAGACGCGATTAATTGGATGAATGGGGAACAGCTACAGGATCACAGAGGAACACGCTTTGCGAGCTGAGCAGAATGAAGACTATAAGCAGACGAAGAAAGCAGACTGGAGCACCCACAGAGAATCCAGAAATCGTCAAGTTTGAAAGCAGAGTAGAGCCTAACAGCACTTGAATAAAATGCTTTCCAGGAACAAATTGGAAGACACTGGCCGGGTGCCTCTGAACAACACAGCAAAAAGGAGCACAAGGGGAAAAAACCCTAAACCCACTCTCCTGGCCGCTTGCTTTTGGGCTGCTTCTGACCGTGCCATCTGTATGTTTTTGGTGCCGTGGTGTCCCTGGTCCTTGATTTGACCAGAAGCAGCACCACCAAGCTGCGCACACCATGTGACTATTGGCATTTGTTTCATTTGTGTGACAAGACACTGGAGGGTACAAACATGATGGAGTAGCAAGATTATCAAGCTGTATTTGCAGTACATGCATTTGGCGCATGGAAGCAGCCCGAGGTGAGAAAAACGACTGTTGTTCATCCACGTGCAGTAATGGGACAAAGAATGAAGACTTTGCGATCCTTTGTATTCTCCTGCTTCGTAGAGTGTCCCTGCTCAGGGCTGAAGAGTTGATATCCATTGCTAATGACTCTGGCATAGAGATCAGGCTGGAGTTGTGTTGCGTTTAAAAGCATTTGAATGCCCTAACTCGACGTCGAGTACTTCGACAGGATTCCCAAGTCTCATGGAATTGCTGGAGAATGTGCGACCGAAAACAAATTGATTGTGATTGACGACGCGTACCCTGACAGAACAGTGCCTTTGAAGTCTTGGATTGAAGTCAAGTGAGCTTTGTGTCAAGCATTGTCAAGCCAAGGTACGAAGATGCTCGATTTAATCCCGAGTACGACGAAAAGACTGGTGTGGACCTCAGCTCAAGCTAGTACAGTATTCTGAATTCCATCCTGACATCCGTCCTTGGCTGACACCGGTTTGCTTTGGATTTCTTTGATGCTGATGTGGCTGGCTTAGCCGCCTAAGCATCCTAAGCCTTGTCCATGTTGAGGCTACCGGACGCATAGCATCATTGCTCTTCCGGTGAAACGGCCGCCTACCAAAGACAAGGCATGTGCTGTGATTCAAATGAGCTGCCCTCAGTAGTTTTTTGTTTTCTGCGCTGAGAAGAGATGTGAAGATCATGAGGATAGGGATTCTGTGAAATTCGTGAAGAGTTGTTACATTCAACCTGATTGTTTTTCGGGGATCGCTTTTCAAGGATCAACAAGCAGGAGTTTGATGACGAAATCGGCCGGTTTGATGACGAGGATGTGCAGGCCCGCGGCCAGCAGGGCCTGGAGCTCTGATGAACTTGGGGAACGGAACTACAAAGAGACCAAGATAAGCTAGTCTAAGTGCGAACAGAGCCTCTTTGACTCGTGGTAAAGCGCAATCGGGACAGGTTTTGGAGACCTATGCCATGTTTGTTGCAACCCAGCTGGCTCAATCTTCCTTGCTCTCTGAGTCTTGGCAAAAGCTACCTAAACCGGTCGCCATGCAAAGAAAAGCATTGCAGCTTTACAGATGGTGAGTGAACCGAGTCATGAGAGAGGAGTTTCTTCTTTTTCCTGTTTCGTTGGACCATGTTGGACCGATAGACTTTTCATGTTGCTTTCATTTTCTTCCTTCGTCTATTGGAGTATCGATGGATTTGAGAGATTGCCTTCAATGTGTTTGAGGCACGTGGGAAGGCCTTGACCTCAGCTGCGGTGCCTCAAGCCGTGTGTCGAACTCGCTGTTTGAGCTTCTTGAGGCGAATAGCGAGGAATTTGAGACGCACACAAACACGACAAGCATGAAGTTTCTCAGCTTTTAAGAGTGCTTTGTACCCGGATTCATGATTCATACAGATTCATCCAGATGTGTCGCACAGCTCAGGCAAGGGATGGACTCTTTCCAGGACAGCGGTTTTGCGTCAGAATGCCCGCAGACTTGACATGCGCTGCAGGGAGTGATCGAGGAGATGGATGAGGAGGAGGATTGACCGAAGATGGATGGTCTCGGTCCCGAGAGGTTGATTCCCCGAACCATTTGGAAGCCATTTAGCACACAGAATCAATGCACAAAGGTAAGATGAGGGAAGTACCCAAGCGCGCTCGCAAGCCAACCCTGCGCTGCGCTTGCGCTGCATCTTTCGGTTTCACAAGTTGGATGCGACCAAATGTGGCTGCAGAGAAACCGAAAAGAAGGTTTGGATTCAAATGCACCAATGTCAGTTGCCTGTCCGTTGCCTGCAAGTCTTGTTTGTGGGCGAGGCCAAAAGTGAGCCTGCAACTCGATCATGCTTGACCATCCACCGGTGCGCCGTCCTTGGAACCGGCATTGTGGTTCAGCCGTTGGATTGGCGATGCTGATGACCTTCATGTATCGACATGAATTGCAAGTGCAACTGCACCATCTCCAGCAATTTTCCACGGGATGTACGACTGTTGACTATTGCGATGTTTTACACTCAGAATTATTCATGACTTTGATGTAAAGGCTGCGTAGCTCTTCCATCATGTCATGTATATATATATATATAGAGTTGCAGCAGCTTTGTGCTTTCGCCATGGAAAGCTCAGGGAGTGTTTTTTCAAGCCTTTTATCAATTGCATCCAGCTGTTTGGACAGGGCTTTGCTTCCTTTTTCTTGACATGTCTTCCACAAACTTCACAGAGGGCTCTTCGAAGTGTGGCGGCCAAACCTTGAGAGGACTGCTTCCGCGGTCTCCGTCGAACATCTTGCTTTCCAAAGTCTCCGATTTGGTTTGATTGCCACTTCATCTTCAGACGGGAAGAGATTTGAACAGTCGGCCTTTAAGCATCGATCTGTTTGCTTTTTGTATTCTTCCTAGGCTGGACAATTTGCTTTGAGGTGGCCTCAGCCACGCGGATGTGGAGAGATATGGCCGACAGATTGTGCTTCCAAGCCTGGGTCCGGAAGGCCAAAAGAATCTCCTGGAAGGACTCAGAAACGAGACGCAAAAATACGATTGGAAGAGAAGGCAGATTGGAAGCTGGCAGGAAATTCAATTTTTCTTGTAGGCCAGATGGCATGCACCCAACATGCCTTTTGTTTGATGAATGTGGCAAGCATCTAGAATCTAGCAGAATCTATATAGCAGAATCTACCACTTGAAGGACGCTTTCCAACACAGTTTGTACAAAAGGAGTTTCCTTACAGAACTGAAAACAAGGAAGCATCCTTGTCGTGGGAGCTGGTGGGCTAGGTTGCCCCGTTGCTTTATACCTGGCAGCAGCAGGTGCGATCGCCTGACATTCAGCAAACTATATTGGACCTTTCTTCCTTTTCTTTTTTCTTTGTTTCTAATAGCGATGGCCTCCAACCTAAGAGCGATGGCCTTTTTCTTTTCCCATCCTGAACGATATCGTTCCTACTTGACCATTCTACCCTTGCAAGAGGTCTATTGAGTCTATTGCCTACTGACACTCCACAAGAGGCCTATTGTCTAGGTAATTTTTTGTACACTAAATCGAACATGTCATGAAGAACAACATGTTGCAGATGTTGCATGAACAGGCCAAACATGGTCAAACCACATTTTGCGGTTCACTGCCAACTAGACTTCACTGACCACTTCGCTTTGTTTCATCGTCGCAGGTGTTGGCTGCATTGGAATCGTCGATGCTGACACTGTTGCTTTGAGCAATCTTCATCGACAGATTGGACACTCCTGGAGATGGATCGGAAGAAGCAAAGCAGAATCTTTGGCGCACGCTTGTCAAGAAGTCAATCAGGCAGTGTCAGTCAAAGCGCACAGCCTGCGGCTCAATGAACGACGAGAAGCTGCTGACCTCATGGCAGGTTGCTTATTTGATAGAGGTTTGTACATCGTTTTTGGATGTTTTTGGACACCGCCACGAAAGAGGAAAAAGGGAACGTGTGTGGGCCTTTTCAATACTGTTAGTCTTGACATGAATTTGTAAGTTTTGTTTTTTCAAGTTGGATTCGTGAAGGCTATGATGTCGTGGTCGATTGCACAGATGCCCCTCCAAGCCGATATTTGTTGAACGATGCGGCACTATCTGCAGCACGACCGTTGGTAGCAGCATCTGCAGTTGGGCTTTGCTGGCTAAATTCAGTGGTCGCTTTCATGAAGCTTTGCCGTTGTTGATTCAAACCACAGGTATCTTGTTCAATTCAAACAGAAACTTGATGTGGAAACAAGATGAGACACGCACAGGCTGAGTGGCCAGTTGGCAGTGTACAACTTCGAGGGTGGCCCATGTTTGCGCTGTGCTACTCAGATCACTGCTTTGCTGTGGGTTTATGAACATTTTTTTGTTGCCAAAGCCGATGTTTGCTCAACATCCAAGGTTTTTCCAGTGCTGGCATCACCAGCGGATGCGGAGCCGGTTGCGTCCTGCGAGGAGAACGGTGTGCTGGGGCCGATTGTAGGCACTGTGGGCTCGTTGGCAGCTCTTGAGGCTTTGAAAGTGCCTTGCTGGATAAGGATTATTATTTTTTTTAACGTTATTTGGATGTTGGAAGCAAAAAAGAGCCACAATGGCATATTACAAAGACACTTCGGAAACTTCGTAAGACTGCTCCAGAAAATCCTGGAGACGCGGGTCTTGGCCGCACCGGACTAAGCTCCAAGGATAGCGATTCAACATGTCCCCTTTGGCTCTAGACTCTAGTCAAAACAGTATGTTCTACAGTACTTTTGATTGACCTCATGCACACTTGAAGCAGAATCTTGCGCCGAAAGAGGCAGATTTAAGCAAACACACAACACTCAGGCTTTAGAAACTTTAGCTGCTCGATGATGCTGAGGTGCTTGCGAAACAATCTGCTCTTCACAAGTCCTGTTTACGGGGCAAATTGCTCCTCTTTGACCCGACAAGCTCTCTGCAGCCTTGTCGGACTGTACGAATCCGAAGGCTGATCGAACGCTTCGGCTTTTGCTCTGCAGAAGATTTCATGGTTAGATTAACGGACCGATCCTTGGATCCTCTTGTTACTAGTAGTGCTTGTTACTAGTAGCTTCTAGCTACCAGTAGTAATGTCCTTGTTCCTAGTAGAAATGCCCTTTGTTCCTAGTAGCGTCCTCGTGTTTCGGTAGCAAGGCCAGGAGCTACTACTAGGGTCCTTGCTCCCTTTGTAGTTAAATAACCCATCCTTGGATCCTCTTGCTGTAAGCATCGTTCGATGTGGCCAAAAAGCCGCATGGTATCCCCGAGACTTGTGGCCTTGAGACTTGGAGGCAACCTGACTGTGTGGGATGTGCATCCAAAGATGATGGTGATCCACCAGTGCCGTTGACTTGTGCAGTGCCTAGTCAGCTGACAAAGGAGATCAGTACCTGCTTTGCACAAAGAGCCAGCATTTGGTGATTAGTGATTAGCTATAAGCTGCGGAGCAGAAAAACCAGTGACCCCGATTGCTCAGTGGCAAGATGCTGAAGCGAAAAACGCAAGAAGCCAAGGCATATCTCCAAAAGCTTTGCATGAACGCTTGTCGACGACCGACCCCATCATCTTGCTTGATGTGAGGCGGGGTATTCAAAGCCGTTTCGATCCATTCGTTTGCTCTACTTCAAAATGTGAAGTCTGCAAGGCAACCTGCACATTTCGCTGTAACAAGACTGAAAGCTGCGGTGAATTGGCCGCTGACAGAGATGAATAGGCAATCCCTTGAGGACTGAGCACTTTCAACTTCGACCGAAGGAATTGCTGTCCACGAAGCCCTGGAGGAAAGACAAGAGAAGTTCAGGTCACTCGAAAAAGATCTGATGAAGCCTGTGGTGGTATGCGTTTGTCGACGAGGAAACGATAGCTCTGTGGCCACGTTGCTGGCCTGAATATCAGGATCCAACGCTCAACATATTATTTTGCTTCCGTTTTCGCATCAAGAATGGTCCCAGTGTCTCACGCTAAGTCTGACATTTTGCATTGTGTCAGTAGACTTAACGTGATCTGCAGGTTGCTGATGAGAGATGCTGGCATCCCAGCCCTGAATCTCCAAGGTGGTTTGCAGCAACTCATGGCATGTGAACCGCTTTTTCAGCGGAGTCTGCCGGCATTGACATGACCAGAAGCAGAGCAAAATGGTGGCCATGCAGACATGCAAGACCTTTTGCACAGCAGGTTGTTGAGATGAAGTGGCCGGTGACCACGACTTGAGAACACGGTGATGTCTTGGATCTTAAACAGGCCTACAAATAGCCCGCATTGCTTGCGAACTTAAAGGACCACCCAGATTTGCGATTACCACGAGAGCAAACATCAAATACAACAACCGTTTTTCTGCGAGGGGTGAACTGAGCCCATATGAGTGATTGTGTTGATTTGCCCCAAGCAAGCAGACAAAACTGAACATAAAGCTTTAGAATATGGAAGTTGAAGGAGCCTTGGAGCCTTTGCCTCAGAGATTATTTGCATGGGCGATTCGAGTTGGCGTCCCCAAAGCACTCGAATAAACACCCCTTCGGCAAACATCACACACACATATATATTATATATACAACTATATATAACTATTATATATTATATTTCTTATCATTTCCTGAAGGCTTGAGTCAAGAGGAGAGGAGTTTCCTGCCCATTTTTTGCTGCGCCTTCTTTTTGTTCGATTCTCTTCCTGAGCCTGGGTCCACGGGGAAGAACTTTTCAAGCCAAGGTCTGCAGTGCAGCTGTTGCAGCGCAGGCACTTCTGTCTTCAAAGCTGATCGATTGTTGTCAAGAGAATCCACAAGGGTTTGAAGTGCTTACTACAAGATCTACAAATCTTGTGAAGCATGAGTCATAACATACCACTAGGTGTCATGACAGCTACAGTAAGATCTGTTGGCCCCCAAGGAGATCCACCGTAGATCCACCGGGCCCATTTTGTCAATTCGTTCGAACGCTGAGACACTCTGGCAGGCTAGACGCGCTGCAGAAGGAGGCCCAACTTGTTCAGAGAGAAGTTCTGTCACCACAGCTGATGGGAGGTGAGGAGCTGCCATGAAGAATCCGCAGCCCTTCGTGAATACTTGTCCGAGGCAAGCGATGGCTCCATTTCTCAAGAAGCGCCGAGAGACATGTAGTCCATTTTGTCCCAGGTTGGAACGATTCGAATGGCCTGTAGCTCAATCAATCTGAGCGTGTTGGTATGTGAAGTGTGTTCGGGAAGGGCAGTTGGCCAGAATGGTGATAAAACACGCAAAGCGGATGTGACTTGTTTGGCATGGTCACGTTGGAAAAGCAGCTGCCAGATTTCTGGCTTCAGACCATTGGGCTTCAGAATGCCTGGTTGCAGCAATGGAACTTCCAGAGTGGCTCCGAAGCGAACCCAGCCCAGCCTTGGAGCCTGAGGACATTCGTTCTCTATTCTTTTAATTCTTATATATATATATCTCTCTATTAATAGGTTGGAGGCCATCGCTTCTAGGTTGGAGGCCATCGCTCTTAGGTTGGAGGGCATCG